AGTATATGTACACAACACACAGTCACAAGTTGTTTTGTTTACATAAGCTAGACATAATCTTGTTGTACAGATAACGGGATGAACTTCTTTCCCATGAGAAAATCCTGACAGACTTCAACTCCCAGAATTACCCAGCTGGCTGGAGAATTCTGGGAGTTGAAGTCCACCCATTGTAAAAGGACCAAGGTTGAGAAACACTCCCTACTCTCTTTGCAACCCACCAAGCTCTTGGGCTGGGAGGGCACAGTAATGCCTCTCCTTCACCTTCAGAGTGCGGGGACAGCTGCGTCTGCTGGTTGCTGGACACTCTGGAGCAAATAGCTCATCAGTCTCCGACTCCAAATCTGAGCCCACCATGACAGCACTAGCTGAAATAGGACTGGGTAGTTTGTGGCTCAGTCTGTTGCAGGAAGCTGGGCAGAATGTGGGTAGTGCCAGAGCGGGTGGCCGTGAGTGTCCCTGGATGCGTTGTTTCTACCCCCGGTAGGTTCCCAAAGTCTCTTCCCTTCAGCTGCGCGTCCTGGGTCTCCCCGCACCCGAAGCACACCGCCGTGGCCTTCCTGAAGACCCACAAAACAGCTAGCACCACCGTGCAGAACCTCCTCTTCCGTTTCGCGGAGCGGCACAACGTCACCGTGGCCCTGCCCCACCACGCCTGTGACCACCAGTTCTGCTACCCCCGCAACTTCTCGACTCGCTTCGTGCACCCGTACACCATCCCGCCCCGCCTCATCGCCAGCCACTTGCGCTTCAACCGCGACGAGCTGCACCACCTCATGCCCAACGACACCATTTACATCACCATCCTGCGCGAGCCGGTGGCCATGTTCGAATCCCTTTTCAGTTACTACAATCAGTACTGCCCGGCTTTCCGACGGGTGCCCAATGGATCCATGGAGACCTTCCTGAACAATCCGGAGCAGTACTACCGTTCCCATGAGAAATATGCCATGTATGCCCGTAATACCCTGGTGTACGACCTGGGGGGTGACCCCGAGCACAACCCCAATGACCCCACGTACCTCCCCAAGTTCATCCATCAGGTAGAAGGCATTTTCTCTCTGGTCATGTTGGCCGAATATTTTGATGAATCGTTGATCCTCCTCCGCCATCTGCTGGCGTGGGACCTGGACGACATCCTCTACGTCAAGCTGAATATGCGCAGTCCGGAATCCAAGCTCAACATCACCTCGGCCCACGTGGCCGCCCAGATCCGCTCCTGGAACGCTCTCGACGCCGGCCTCTACGACCACTTCAATGCCACCTTCTGGAGGAAGCTAAACAAGATGGACCAAGGCTGTGTCCAGAAAGAAGTCCACGCTCTTCACCAGGCCTGCGAGCGCTTGGCACGCCACTGCTTTCAGGGCCAACCCCAGCTGCGCCCAGCCATGCAGATCAAGAACAAAGACCTCCGGCCCTGGCAACCGAGTGCCAAGGTGGACATTGTGGGCTACGACCTCCCAGGCTCGGGGGCCCATTTGGACGAGCAATGTCTCAAACTTGTCATGCCCGAGGTACAGTATTCGCGCTACCTGTTACGGAAGCAGAGCCTCAAAAATCGGCGTAAGGCCATCCCCCATCAGCCTCTCTCCCCCCGGGGACTTCTGCACCCACCTCGGCACCCTGGGGTCAAAGCTTCCTGAGCAGATGGTTGGGGTTTAGAAATGCCACTAGGCAGAGCACTGTGCAGTGAGGACGGCTGGTGGAGTTCCCTTTTCAATGAGCTGTGATTTTTCCCCCCTGGGTCTCAAGGACATTTCGACCCAGTTTTACTCACTTAGAAACTCAGGACCCCAAGCATCTGGGTGAGCGGGACTCTCCTTTCAGATGCACCAAAGGAGCTGTGTATAAATGGGGGCCCATTTTCATCAACTAGGACTTGGACACCATGAATGGGTGTTCCAAGTGGACCTAAGTTCTTGCTTTCAATTGTTTCCTTGGGCAACCAGAACAAAACTGGGTCTGTTTCCTGTCTAGAAATGTTCAGGGCTAGTCTCAAGGCCTCCTCTTCATCTTCTCTCGCCTTCCCCACGTTTTGGTCTTTCCTTCCTCTTCCCAATGAATGTCTGACCTCTTTGAGATGGATGAAAGGGGAGCACCTTTTCCACCACTGCCCTGATGTTCTGCATCCATCTTTTTAAAGGAATTTGCTTTTGATTTTAGCTAATGATTATCAAACAGGTTGCACTCCTGTTCAGCCTCACCTCATGGCAGGCGCTGCTGTATTTATTTTATTTATAGATTTATTGCACATTTGTCCCACTTTCCTCCAAAGAATTCAAGGTACCCCCCTCCATTTTATCCTCACAACAACACTGCAAGGTAGGCTAGACCAGAACCAAAGTTGCCTGTGGAGTTGTGCCAGGATTTGAACTCGGATTTCCCCAGTCCTAGCTCAACACTCTCAATCCTTTCAGTAGCACTAAAATGCTTTCCTAGTGAAAGATCTTATTTTTTAAAAAAGCACTGTCATGTTACAGCTCTCCTGAAAAAAGACTTTTTAACTTTGGAAACGAACCCTGAAAACAATGCCCAGCGGTTGTAATGCGTGCGATGCCCGTGAAGTCATCACCTGGGTCAAAACCCCTTCTTAAAAAAGATGGAAGAATAGGATTTGAAGTAGGAAAGAGATGCCCAAAAGCACAATATTCCCCATTATTGTGAGTTGTATTAACTCACATGAGTTACTATGAGTTGTAACTCTGCCTGTTGTTTTTATTAATAGTCGGAACTCTCCGTTTGGAAGCATCTTGACTTCGTGTACCATTTTTCCCTTCCCCTTCCTATACCCCAGTAATTCTCAAAGTGTGATCTGGGGGTCCCTGAGACCCTTTCAGGGGTCCGCAAAATCAAATATTTTAAAATTTCTGTTTTAATTTCTACTACAGTAACTATCGATAGATATAACCCACATAAGCCAAAGCTATTTTGGGTCTCAGTCACTTCTAAATTTCCCAACATCTGCATTACCCCATCCTCTGGGTTGACCTTTCACTGATACTTCTCTTCCTTCCTGCTAACCAATCTTCCAGGCCACATTTCCAAAAGTTTAGGGCTAGCTGTAAATTCCAGATCACCACCAGAAGGAACAACGGTGATTTTCTATATCCACTTATGCTGGTCTATGACCGTAATAAAGACTTGATTTGATCTCTGTCTGTCGGCTGCCGTTGGATCGTGTGCAGCCAGATCTCGTAGTCCTGCAAATGTTCCCCAGGGTTCATTTCTAAACAGCTTGTTTGGAACAGTGTAAGAACTTACGATGTAACTCAGGAGAGTTGCGGGTGGGTTGGAACAAGAAATTGGAGGTTAATAAAAGTCTGCGTCTAAGCGTCCTTTCTGGATTGTGCTTGTTGTGAACAATCACGGTTTAGGTGAGTGAGTGTGTGCGTGGGGGATGAATTGCACTCTCTGACTTGGCCCCTGGGAATTGGCAGCCTGCGGCTTATGGGCCCAGTGAACGCAGAGAACATACTGTGTGTTCACCCAGCCCAGCTTTTTTCAAAGTGTGGTCAGTACAGGTGGGTCATGAGACAATGCATGGAGAGTCACCAGAGAATGTCTCCCTGGCAAATCCTTTACAAGCCGGCTTACCAGTTTGATGCAAAAGTTTGCTGAGAGCAAAACTCCCCAAAGCTTTCAGACCGAACCCTTTATGAAGCTTGAATGTTCGTGGCGTTTTGGGGTTTGCCTTTGGAAGGACCAGCAATCCGTAGCTACTGAACATCTGATCTGACCCTCAGTCTGCAGAGGGAATTGCAATAGAGGGGAAGGGAAATAAGATAAGCTATAACTGTTATTTCTCAGTTAACCAAGTTAACTGAGAAAGTGCATGGAAACCACCTTACAGCCTGCCGGGGTTTTGCAAGCTGTAGTATTTTAACAGCAGTTTAAGAGAAACCGATTTAAGGCAACGACACACCTTTTTTTCCCCTGTCTTTGATGAATGACCCTGACTGTCCAACTGCAGGAGTTACACAAAGTAAGAAAGCTGATCTTTCCCATTAAAAAATATGGTTTTAAATTTTACTGGGGGTGGTGCTTATTTCCAGTGAAACAGTTTTATTTCATAAACTTGTAAACTTCTGCCCTTGTTTTAGCCAATAAATCAGTTAAATTTGAATGATTAAAAGTAAGTGGTATATTTATTCCTTTCCCAAGCTTCCCAAGAGTGGGGGGCTCACACCAACTCATTTATATATAAATCAAACAAATAATAAAATGTTGCCATTCGAGAAGGTCATATGCAGAGTCCTTTAATACTCTGCTATTAGCTAGAGGTTAAGTATCTGTACAGTCATGAATCAATTGGCACAATGAGACTTTTAGGCTTTAATGAGAAATACAAATCATTCTGCAAGGAACAGTTAGTTCAAAGAAGGATCTGGTCCGTTGATGTTTAATTGCTGTCCTCTTTCAGTGGCTTTTTGGGTGACCTGTAAATGAGGAATACAGCTTGAAAGCTTTCTTATCAATGCATCTCTTGCTAGAACAGAGAAGGCTACTCAGTCCAGTAAATAATATCGTTTCATTCGTCCCACATCTTTCTTTTCCCCAGTGTATAAAACCAGTTGGCTTGGCCCAGTTACATACGTGCGAGAGCCAGCTTTGGGTAGGGAACAAGCAGCTCTTGTGACATTTTGTAGAGAGCAAGACCTAAGTGACAGATCTGTCAGCCAAAATGGTGGCTTGGAGGAGAAAGGATGTAAGCTTTGGGAAGGCTTGGGAAGAGAATTGTCAAAACCAGAGATCCCCAACCCATCTGGGGAAAAAATGATTTACTGTGCTTCATTTATTGAGTAACAGGTAGTCCTCGCTTAATGACCACAATAAGGACTGGAAAATTAGTCATTAAGTGGGTGGTCGTTAAGTGAGACATCACATGACTGCACCCGATTTTATGACCTTTTTTGCAGTGGTCATTAAAGTGAATCACCATGGTCATTAAGTGAATCATGTGGTTTCCCCATTGACTTTGCTTCTTGGAAGCCCCCTGGAAAGCTTGCAAATGGCAATCACATGACCCCAGGATGCTGCAACTGTCGTAAGTGCAAGCTGGTTGCCAAGCGCATAAATTTTGATCACATGACCATGGGGGCGCTGTGACGGTCATAATTTCAGGCACTGGTCGTAAGTAACTTTTTAGCGCTGTTGTAACTTTGGATGGTCGCTGAACAAACGGTCGTTAAGCGAGGACTCCCTGTAGTCATTGTCCTGGCGCACTGAGTCTTTTGGGAGCACAGACCCAGCATATTTTGCAAAGGCTGAAGGCAGCTCTCCAACCAGAAGTGGCCAAGGTAATCATCTTAGCTGCGTTTCATTTAAACGTCATCACCTTTAGTGGCTTCATCCCCAGCAATTCTTCAAAGTGTGTCTTGTTATCCATCAAGGGGTGCCAGATGAAGGGTGCCTTTGTCAGCTCCTCAGAAGCACAAAGCTGACCGCTTTTAGAAGCAGGACATTGAGTTAGCTGGGAGAACTACTGTATGGCCTCCTTCGGCTGAACTCTAGGGAGACGTTGGACTTTCTAGCTGCAGTTGTCAACCTGAGCCAACAGAGGGCAGTGCTTTAATTGCTGTTTTCCCCTTTTTCAAAGTTCAAAGCTACTCAGCAGAACCATGTACATATTGTGCCCTCTAGTGGCTCAGGCTGGCAGTTGCAGCTGAAAAGGCAACGAAGGGACGTACTGTAGAGCAGCGTTTCTCAATCTTAGCAACTTTAAGGTGTGGACTTCAACTCCCAGAATTCCCCAGCCCCCAAGGCCGGCTTGGGGAGTGCGTGGGAGGGAGGTCTCAGCTTT